CCCCCCCCCCCCCCCCAATAACTCCATGAATACTGATTCGGTCATTTTGATGTGTATAATGCTGTTTATTTCTGTCTATATCATGTATATGTGTGTGTTGATATGATTTATATATACACATATATGTATATAATATTTGTAGGTTTAACGTGCCCCTCCCTTCAAGAAGCGGTCAATTGAATTCCTGCGCATGGCTCTGTATATACTCCGCTTATAGTAAATTCTGCGTTGTGATCAGAGAAAGGGCTGAAAAGCTAAGCTTTTGTGTTGAAATCCCCTTCAATAATGTACCGAGAGAATTAAGGATCCTGCGTTTCTTTCATGATGCATAAACTCCAGAAAAGTAAGTATCGTGCTTTTTTTTCAACTCGAACAGTTTTTGACATTTTTAAAGATCTTTATTCGTCTTCTCTCAACAGGGGCGGCTCCAGAAATAACCACCTAGCAGATAACTCATTATAATTCCGATAGAATTCAATTGATAACGTAATTAAATGTAAATGGGCGAAGAGTGGCTTTTTTTTTATTTCGCCACAAAATCCTTTATCATAATTCAGAAACTTTTTTACACAGATCATACAGGGAATAATCTAAAGAAAACTGCACCTTTCCAACAATGTTCTATAAAATCGAGGTCATACAAAGTACATATCAAATTCTTTCAGATCCTAGTTTGTGAGTGTTTTGACTGTCACTAGTATTTTAATACTTTTTAGGCACTGCATCACTAAATTATTCTTATGAAGGCATTTTCAAAGAAAAATAATAATTTTCTAGTCGATTTTTAAACTTTTTAGGAAATAAAACAAACACAGAAAATGATAAAACAAATCAAATACGAAATAACAAATAAATGCAAATGCCACAAATAACCAACAATCACACTCAATAACCAACCCTTTTTTAGAAGCAGTAAAAACCGCTTTTACAGAATTTATTCAAGAGTACCTAAATCCACTAAAACAAACAGATGACGTCACATTATTATTACAAATAGCCAAGAAACACTTTACACCAATAATCCCTCATATTATCACAACAATTTATAATTCCTTAATTACATAAAAACTATAAATCACCCAATACCAGAACTTACAGTATTAACTTGATTAAATAATTGATCGTGTATTAAAGGGTTTTTATGCAAAATGCACTCTTGATATGATAATTTTGAAAGGTGTTGGAATTACCAATGAAGCAAAGTGGTGACGGAAACACAAAATGCTATTTCATTCATAGACATTGACTCTGATAAGGGAAGTATAAACCGTGTTAAAGCAATGGATCTTCTAGCCCTGGTTACTTAAATTTCTAAATAGCATTTTGTAGCACACTAACATAGAGTAAAGAAGGGAGGAAAAGGTCTAGATAGAACCTGACCCTTTCAGGTCTAAAAAAGACCTGAAGCTCTATATCGAGAACGAAGAAGCGTAATTCAAAGAGCTCACTGGTTGGTTTCTAGTGGTTGATATTAGTACATTTATAATTGCTACAAATTACCAGAGGGAGAAAAAAAAGAGTCTCTCTTGCCGGTCTGTAATTATAACTAACAATCAAACTGTGACAGTGCAAATTAGGAAAAAACGATATGATTATAGGATTGTCACCTCTTGAATGTGCCAGCTACCTACACAATCCGCGCAATGGGTTTAACAAAAAACTAAGAAAGCATAAGTCTCCCTCACCAGCCTTATAATAAAACCGCCACTGACCTCAAATGGGGTAAATATCTAGTTATTAAAATTAAACGAAACTTTGTAAATATTATTTATCAGGAGACAATTGTCAGGAGAAAAAAAAACAGATTATACATTGTTAGTGCAATTATTGAATGTGATCACATTTTTTTTTTTCAATTACACTCCAAGCTGTCAAGGATAGGACAAAACCTAGAATAATACAAAAGAATTCTAATCTCAGACACCGAAATTTACAAGTCCACTTGTCTTAGGCGTACCATTAGTCAAGCTTTTATTAAGTACGCCCTATATTCGATAAAGAGATAAGTTAACACTGTGACGGGCAGGCATTTAGGCTAGTCGTTGGAGCTTTAATCCTTACCACCAGTCACACTTATTTATTTAAATGAGGATACAGTCGCGAGTGGAGCACACAAGTCACTAACTTGAGGAGTTTACAGTTAGAATAAAAAAATGACTCAGAGACAGAGATTACCCAAAACATCAATCTTTAATAACATTTTCTTAAGAGGCAATTACAACACTTACATTATTTGTTGATTTAACTCAATTAATATCTCAGCAATTTTCAACAGTTCCTTCATTATTCTTAACAACTGTTCCTTCACAGTATTGCTAGAGATATACTCAGACATAGTCAGGTTACTAGCTATATTATACATTTAGTTTCTTAATTACATTGATCGACTGAGAGAAATAGCATCAAAGTTGAAGTGATGAACTGGCTTCTTTGAATATTGGATACTTTCAGCAATTTGAACTTGTTGCCTACTTTCTGTCCCGGAGAATTGAACTGCGAACAACTTCTCAACTGAACTGAACATTTGTCCTGTGGAGAGCTGAATTGAAGTTTCATCCTGGGGAGAACTCATTTTTAGCTCCCAACATTAATTTTTAAATGATATTTTCTCAGTATTCTTACGAGTTTCCAAGTAGAGTGCATAACTACCCACAAGTAGTTCTCACACTTCATTGGTTAATTTCTGCAACTCATTGCACTTCCCATAAACAAAACCCAAAACTCTCAAGTAATTAGTTGTTTGTAAGGAGCAGTGAATCGGTAGCCTTCTAGCTTAGATGACTACACCACAATCTGTAACCGATATTGCCTCAAGAGTTCAGACCATGGTAGTTAACCCCAACTTTTTCATAGCTTCTACTGTACTAAGGTCATCAGTTCATCATTGTCAAACTCGTGTTTTACTTATACTGGGCTTTTTCCTCCTACTAAGCATCACTATTATGGCTATGAACGTCAGTTCTTTTCTATAGCTCTTTCGTTTTTCTCTAACTAATCTGCCTGTTTTAAGTTAGAACTAGGCGATTTTTTGTACGCCATCTTCCTTGCATGGGCATGAAGACCTAACTATTTCTGTACTGTTTTTCTCAATTTTGTATTTAATGATAGGAGCAATTGTATGAAATATCTACTATTCCCAATTGCTTCACTCCTCCCTCTTATAAGGAAATTTTTATCCTTGGAGAAAATTTTCACCATTCAAATTTGCTGTTCCCATTCCTCTCACATGTCGACAAATGCTTACAATAAACATTCACATTAACCCACTTATGGTTATTCAATATATCAACACTTAATCAGCCAATACATCTTTACATTAATATTACTTCATTATTGGTCATAATATTCACAAGGATTAATAATAAAAACATCAATATTCTTTTATCTAATATCTGTAATATCTTTTATCAGTTTACAAGTAATTCCACAAACAACCATCGAATTATTTTCATTACACTTGCATTACACATATAGCAAGTAAAAGAATACAGAAAGGTATATATATATATATATACATATAACATATTATTCATCTTAATCTACTCTGACGGTTCTTTCCTGTTTCAAACGGTATGTCTGCGGAGTTACAACGCTAGAAACCGGGTTTCGATACCCGTGGTGGGCAGAGCACAGATAGCATATTATGTAGCTTTGTGCATAACTAAAAACAAACAAACAAACCATTCGGATACACAGTGAATTCGTTCTGACCCACATTATTATATACTTTTTAATAAAATCATTCAGATATACGGAGTTATTTTGAATTACACAATTGTACTATCACAATAATATGGTTTACCAAGGAGTATTACTCTGTAAAATAGTTATTAAAGAGCAATAGCACTATAAAGAATTACTCTGTATTTCAGAAAGAGGGTGTTAGAAAATAGTATTGTGTATGTCATACAGTAATTTTTTTATATCAGTATGAATAAGCTATAATATGAAGTATTATAAATTGTCTGGTAAGTTATGCGAAAGCATAACTTTATTTCATCAACTGTTACCACATATAATCTACCTCTAAGCAGACCTTAACTGACAAAAAGTATTTGTGGATTTACGTGTTGAAACCACCAGGCTAGCAGAAGTTGTTTGATATGATGATTGGCAGGAACTCAAAGTGCAGACGCAGCTCCTCCTACTTCTTTCATCAAGGTCATACTCTTATGCGATCTGAAAAAAGTCCTAGTAGTCAAGATAGTCTGTATGCTAGGAACAGTAGAATACATGCTCCTATGGCGTAAAAGCGTTGACCACGAACAGAGCAGTAAGAACATGAATCAGCTTTCTAAATGAAACACGCATATTTTACAAGAACCAATTTGCGAATATAATACAGGTAACTTACTGATTTTTCATTATTAAATTAAGATTTATAGAAATAATGGTTGTCATTATAAATTGTACTGATAAATATTATAAGTCATGGAAGCTGTATCTTAAATAATGTTATTTTGTTGATTTTTATCATCTCATAGTGAATTATTGCTAGAACTATAAACTGATACTGTAGATATTGTAATTTTCATGAAATACACTAGTATGGTTTAAGTATAAACAATATTCTTTATCTTAGTCTGTTATTCGTATTAGAGGCAATTTCTAATAAAAAGTGATATTCTTCAAATTCTATCCTTCTCACTGCAAATAATATCACACCTTATAAAAATGAATATCATTTTACTGTATTTTTATTGTATTTTAGTGTTTATGTCAAGTGATATAAACATCCTATAGTTAAACATTGGGAAAGTGTTGCTAATGTACAATAAAACTGTAAGTAAACGACGAAATATACTACAAATAAAATATTAAGTACACCACTAAAGTCTAAATTTTGTAAGTATTTCATTATTTCAGCCAGAAATAAGTCAACATTAAATTACGTGAGCCAATTAAGAACTGCTTGTTACTACCATCGCATTTGTCAATCATAAGTCAACATTAAATTACGTGAGCCAATTAAGAACTGCTTGTTACTACCATCGCATTTGTCAATCATAAGTCAACATTAAATTACGTGAGCCAATTAAGAACTGCTTGTTACTACCATCGCATCTGTACTTGAAGAACTGCTTGTTACTACCATCGCATCTGTACTTGAAGAACTGCTTGTTACTACCATCGCATCTGTACTTGAAGAATTGCTTGTTACTACCATCGCATCTGTACTTGAAGAATTGCTTGTTACTACCATCGCATCTGTAATTGAAATTTATGGCAAAGCTACTAAGACTATTTGCCACCAATCCTAATTTTAAACTAATGACCGTAGAGAAGGTAGCCAGTAAACAGCATCCTACCAACCCCGTCATACACGCTAAAGGATTGACTGTCACTCCTATAATAAATCTACGCTAAAAGTGTGGGGAATGTTCTGTGGTATTGCACGGATTGAAACCTGAATCGCCAACTCCGAAATCCAGGGTTCTACCACGGGGCCAACTCATGTCCAAATAGTAACAATGACACCCAATAAACAACCGTATTTATCAATTTATCTCGCTCTTTTAAATTATAATGATTTTCATGCAATAATATATTTTGATTATTATTTGAATGTAAACCAACTGAAATTTACAAAATTTGGAAACTGGTATAAATTAAAGACGCCAACCAATCTTTCTTTTTATATCGTAAATATTAAGAATCTTTTAGAAATCAACTTATTTACCTATCTAAACAATAAGAACTTCAGCCGGAAGTAATATGAAAAGTATATAATATGCGATAAAAACTTTAGACCAACGGATATGACGATCGTTGTAACTAGGCTTACACACTTTATTGTTGTTCTTCGTAGAACCTCACACAATCAGGGTACACGTTATTAATGATTACCAATAACAAGTCAGGTCCGTCTTTATAAACATATATCAGGTCCTTAATATTTGAACGATTTAACACAGTACATAGTTCACCTTTTCATGTAATGGTAAAAGAATAACCGAAGGGCTGGCGGTTATTTTCCCTTCAACCAGCAGTTCAAAATAAGAGACTGCGGCAGGTAGCCTTAGTAGCTTTGCCATAAAAGAAGAAATAGCGAAAAGTTATATTGAATTCCGTAATTATACACTCTAGTGAAATAGGGGATTATCGTATCGATCTTCTCTTTGTTTTTAATTATACAAAAAAGACAGACAAAATTGGCTGAAATATATTCTCAGGCTACCAATGAATTTAAAACAGTGTTTGCAATTATTGCTGATACAATAGAGAGAGTTTATTTGTTTGTTTGATTTTTAGCGCAAAGCTACATTGGGCTGCTATAAAACTTCATGTCGGAAAGTTTTAAAAATTTTAGTTCCACTAGTTTCTCGGTGGACAAGGCACAGATAATCCAATGTGTAGCTTTGTGCTAAAATAAACAACAACAACATCTTCCGGTGGACAAGGCACAATAATCCAATATGTAGCTTTGTGCTAAAATAAACAACAACAACAACAACATCTCCCGGTGGACAAGGCACAGATAATCCAATATGTAGCTTTGTGCTAAAATAAACAACAACAACAACAACATCTCCCGGTGGACAAGGCACAGATAATCCAATCTGTAGCTTTGTGCTAAAATAAACAACAACAACAACATCTTCCGGTGGACAAGGCACAGATAATCCAATGTGTAGCTTTGTGATAAAATAAACAACAAAAACAACATCTCCCGGTGGACAAGGTACAGATAATCCAATGTGTAATGTGTGATAAAATAAACAATAACAACAACAAGAAAAAAAAAGATTCACCATTGCCCTACAAGGACTTTTTTTTTGCAGGAAGATCAGCACTTATCATAAGAGTAGATTGTTTTCCATTTAAGTGAAGTTCTGTATTATAATAAAGCATGAGATATACGACAAATTAAAATCATAAATAAAATAATATTATTATTTTTTACTATAACAAAAAATCCCTTTCTCAATGTAAACCCACTGTTTTTAGAAGAAGAAAAAAAGACATGCTTCTAGTTTCTGCCTTTCGTATGCCAGTTCAACCATTAAGATTTATTTGTTTGTTTTTGAATTTCGCGCAAAGCTACACGAGGGCTATCTGCGCTAGCCATCCCTAATTTAGCAGTGTAAGGCAGCTAGTCACCGCCAACTCTTGGGCTACTCTTTTACCAACGAATAGTGGGATTGACAGTCACATTATAACGCCCCCACGGCTGAAAGGGCGAGCATGTTTGGTGTGATGGGGATTCGAACCCACGACCCGCACCACCTGGCCATGCCGGGCCCTTAAGATTTATATAACAAGTAAATCTTTATTGGTTACAATCCTTAAAATATAACTATTTGTTTAAGGGCAAGTTTATTTTTAAACGTAAAGAAAAAAAGGGGCGAAAGTAATAAAAACAAAGTTATTCATTAAAATGTTGATTAAACTTTATGATAGATTAAAATAAATAATTTATCCTCAAATTCTGATAAGTTAGTAAAATGGGACAGAAGAATAGTCTCATAACCAAGCATTGTAATGAAAATATATATTTGCGCTGGGAATAAAAAAAAAGAAAAGAGGAACGAATAACATGCTTTTATAAATAAACGAAATGGAAAAAAAAAGGATCAATAAGGAATGTACAAAATTAGAATTATTCTTGAAATGAATGTACATTCAGGGAAATTTATACTAAGGAGTTGAACAAAAGAATGAACAGTTTCACAGATTAAAAATTTATATGGAATGTAAGAAAAGTTTATAGTGGGTTGTTCAAAGAAGAATATCTAGTTACAGATAATTTTATGTTATTTTTAATAATGCTACGCTCCACGATCTTATAGTGTACAAAAATATAGACGGATAATATTTAGAACAAAATCATCTATTACTTACATTTTAAGGTACTTGTAAGCTTACGTCATTCCTTTGAAATAACGTAAACACTTCCCTTAGAAAGAAATTCGAGCAGTTAACAAATGTAATAAGATCGGGTAGTTTCGGTGAAGTAACATAACACGGTTGTCAATAGTATACAGCATGAGCGCTTCAAATAAATTAGCATATTAGCTTTTCTTAAGAAACTAAAATGAGGGAACAAGAGATAAACTGTCAACTTTACCACGCGTAATATGTGTGAGTGGTTTTAAAAATCATTAATTTCGAAATTAAACGATGCTAATTATGAGCATGTATAATCTTTGACGCACAAGAGCAAATATATTATTTTGAGGGTCTAATGGCACAAATCAATAATTAGGAGTTACCTAAGGATACGGAACCCGTGTATCAGCATTTCAACTGAGTAATTTTCTAAACGTATACCTTCAAGAGAGTTGATTGCATCTATTTACATGCAAATTTTCTATTTTTAAGTTATCTAAATATAATTTTTGTGTATCGTCCGTGCTATATAATGAAGCTGAAATCGATTGAAATGTAGAATAACGAAAAGTTTTTATCCGCCAAGTATGGACTATGACTAGTTCTAAATCCAACATAATTATAATAAATGAAAAATAGTCATCAATTTTGTATATGAAAGGTATACGACTCTCTACTTGGAATCATGTATCTAGAATTTGAGAATCCGTAACATTAAGGAATAAAACATAAAACTTTTGTTTATTTGTTTAGAGTTAAGCACAAAGCTACACAATGGGCTATCGAAGCTATATCAGAAGAATAAAGAGATACATTAGCCTAATACAAAGAAGAAAAATTAAAGCTATTTTATTGTCAGCATTAGCCGTTAAATAAACAATACTATGACAAGAAATATGAAGCAAATGCAAAGTATTGGGACTTTCTAGCTCACATCAAGTAAGTGGTGCATTTTTAAAGAAGTTATGCTGCATAAAATTTAGGTTGTATGTTCCTAAATTTGTAATTTTATTGCAGGCTCGTTGAGAGAAAAAAAATGTTTTATTTGCTTGTATGTTTGATTACTATATATTTGTTGTTTCGGATATTCTCGCAAAGGGCTAGTTGCGTTCGCCTATTTTTGAAGTGATAAACTAGAGAAATAGAGATAAAGACATTCACCTCAACTCTTAGGCTACTATAATTGGATTTTACCTCACTCTTATTATTTTTTTCAAAGTGAAGGGCGTGATTTTGCGGCAACAGGACGTGAACCATGGAAACTCAAGCATAATATGACACACTAACCACTATACCTTTATTTGTTTAATGAAACAACTTGTATTCTTATACATTTCATTCAACTAGCAATAAATCACTATTCATGTCTTTCTACATTCTAGATTCACGAAACTCTTGTTGGAGCAGTGATCACGTGACCGTATGCTTTATCTATCCAAATCTTGAAATACCATAGATCATCTTAGTTTATAAAAGTAAGTTGATGCTGTAGCCAGGATCTAGTTATACTAAATATATAATTAGTTTATGTATTGGTTTCCACTTAGGTGTTTTTTGTATCTTACTCTTTGTGACATATTATCCAGGAGATGCATCTGTTCTCATGTAAAACTTATGATGATAAAAGAAGATCTGTACCAATCTAAGCATTAGATTAAAGAGCACTTAATAAACCTAGAGACGCCCTCTGTTGAACACAGATGCTATCTGACAAGTTATCTAGAGCTTTGTGATTTGGCCACACATCAAGACTAGAATCACTAATAATGTCAACTATTCTGTGTAGATCGTCAAAGAGCAAGGATGCCCGTGGAAAGCCACCATGAAGAAATTACTGATCATTGACGTGCTGAGACCGCTTGGGGAAGTCGTTACAGTGAGCCATGTAAATCAGCATATAACACACCCCAGGTCTCATAAAAGTGCTAAAAATGAGTTATAGTGGGCAGATGGTTTTTGTCAACCTGAGCCTACCCACCAGGAGGTGTGATTCTCTAGACAAATCAGAAGCTCTAAAGTGAAGAGAATTACTGATACTATTCATCGACAGGAATCGTGTGCTCAAATGGCCTCAAGCATTGGTGCTGTTTCCAGCAAATATAATAGGGAATCTAAGAATCAGCATACCGTAAACGTTCTTGATGATAGATGAGCAGAACCGATGCCTTTATTGAAGCTAACCATAAAATGGATCTAGCAAAGTACAGTTTACCTTGAAGCAGATATTGCATCCATCATTGAAAAGTTTAGTAAAAAGCAATGAGAGTTAGGCCACCTTCTCGTATAGTTTCACCAAACTGCTACTTATGATTCCTGGACACAGATATAACCAATACAACAACTACTGATTAGCTTGAATGGTCCAGCACATATATTAGTTTAAATCCAACTAACTCTATAGCTGAGAAGCTACAGAAGGAGAAATGTTTTGGACAATTGGAAAATAGAAAATCTACTGCATAAAAGATAAGATTCATAAGTGTGATATTCACAAGAAGTTAGCTATATACTGAAAAAATCCAACACTTACAGATTAAAGTGCACAGAGCATGGCAGCAGAGAAAAGTGAAGATATTATAACCTAAGTTTGAACTAGTGAATCCTATGTTATGTCTAGCCACTGATATGAGGGAAAGTAAATATATATATATATATATATATGCTTACAGATGTATCGGTTATTTTAGCATTTACTGAGTCAACCATGGCTTTATATGTGCCTGTAAAAATACAATAATATTTAAGGGATATTTTAGATGGCAGATTAGCTACCGAAACTTTAAATTATCTCATGGTATATCATCGACGATGTAAACCACTACTCCAACCAAGAAATACAAATTTCTTCTTTGCCAATGGCTATAGGCTTGCAGTGTCGTTGTATGTAAGTATTTTTGTTACAGGTCTTGGCTTAAGCATTGAAAATTTAGGTTTAGATATACCACAGAAATTATCTGTAAAAATAGCCTGTTCATAATGTGAAAATCAGCTCTTTTGTGATAATATCAAATCCTAGGCAGACTATGCACAAGAACATTGGACTACACAGTTGCATATAGTTGATGATATAACAGTTCTGTCTAATGTACAGACAGTGTTTTATTGTATTTTGTGAATGCAGTATAGAAATGTACGACAAACAGTTAATGCTATGATTGAATCAACAACTGAAGTGCTCAGATAAGAGCAAAATTTATTCTGATTGAGGTTTGTAACTATGGTACTCACATAATTAAGTTACTAGCTGTAATGATTGTTGGTGCGGTGTGGGGAAATGGAGGAGACGTTGAAAGTAGTAACACTGTAGTATTGCTTCGAATGAAGCACATCAAAACGTAAATAAATGATTGAAGATTATGCGAACAATCGAGATGTAGATAAGCAAAGGAAACTCAAAACGTTACTTAATAAATATTGCAATTTATTGTTGGATAAAATGAAGAACTAAAATCACTTAACATCATGTAGGCCATATAGATATCAGAGCCGTGCATTTTATAAAGCATTCGCCACGCAGATTTACTTGGAATTTCAGGGGTATAGCTATTGCTGAGAAACACTGGGGCTAAAGGATCAAATCACTCAACCTACAGATATTACTTGGTCATTGTCAGTAGTAATTCTGAGAGATAAAAGGGCATACTGATGTTCTGTGTGGACTTCAGACAAGTGAATGTGGTAATGTATGTTGAACAATTTCTGGACCATGCACAGATGAATGTTTGGATGCATTGGAAGGCTCTCGCTGGTTTAGTTCACTAGACTATGCTTTAGGGTATTGTCATAATAAGCTGGATAATGATAGCAGATCTAAGACTGCTTTCAGCACTTAAGGAGAAAGTTTCTTCGATCTCAGAATTATGCTAGGTTGATCCATAAATATTGAGTATGGTGTTTCAATGTTTAAGTGTTGAAAATAAAATCAAAGAAATGTTTTTATTGAAAATGTAGTTGAGGTTTCTTATTCATGTATAATTATTAGATATGGAGTGTCTACAGGTTCTGAAAAAGTATAAGAAATGGTAGACATACTCAACCTACAATTAAGAAAGTAGTCTGAAGCTTTCTCAGATTTGCATCATATCAACTATTCCCACAAAACGCACCAATTTCTACATAACCTAAGGTTGACTCAGATTTTAGATAGAAAGATGACTGTATAAAGTCATTCTGATCATTAAAATGTTTCTTGGTGATGCAACGTTACTAGCTTATCCATGAGAAGATGTTCCATTCGTCTTAGATCAGATGCTAGTCATTTTGGAACAAAAATAGTGCTGCCACAAGTGAAGGACTGTACAGAGCATGTTTATAGCATATGGAAGCTGTTCACAATCTGGTAATGAATGTCATTATTGTATAAAAGGCAAGAACAGCTTGCATTTCTGGTATATATAGCTACCACTTCAGCCAGTATGTGTGTTGTAGAAAATGTACTATCACGATAAACAACGCTTCACTGAAATGGCTTTTGAATTATAAAGAACAGAACTTGTTGGATAGCAATTTGCAGGATTGCGAATTTAATGGAAATACAATTGTACATGCCCACTGGCAGGTGAGAGGTTGTCCATTTATAAAATGTCTAGATCTGAGGTGTTAGACCATAAACATAGTGAGAGTTCCACTGAAGAATGGATACCAGATATGATGATACACAAGCTTAGAGAAAAACAGCTAAAGGATCTCGATCTAAAATAAATATTACTTGCTATCCAGAAGGCTGAAACACAAACTTAATCGATTGCTATATGTAGTAAAAGATCATGCAACCTTTGACAACTGAATGAACAGTTATAGATATGACAGAGTTTAATATATTGTCACCATAGCCTACAGAAGTGTGACACTGTTCAAATGAATCTGAGATGCATGATTCTTCAAATTGTATTCAATGAAAGAATAAAATGACTCTAGGGAGTATAGCATAATACAGTCAGACTGTGGAGACAAATATTTCCAGCTGCATTCCCATAGAAATGTAGAGAAGAAAGAAATGTTTATGCGCCAAGGAGAACTCTGACAGAGAATACGTTTTTCACTGCCGATTACAAGCATGGATGTTTCCATAACCCTCCTCAATACTAACATCAGTAAGTATTACTCCATAGAAGTAGCTTATTGCTTTACAAAATGGATTGACGGTTATGCATTGACTCGTACTTTGATCCAAACAGATTAGATCAGCATTAGATCACTGGTTTTGAAATACCATAGGAAATTCATACTGATTAAGGAGCCAAGTTTAATAGTCTTCTGTTTGCTGTCTTGTGTAAGGTGTGATGAAAACCCATACTTCTCCTTGTCATCCTCAATCTGGTGGTTAAATAGTTAAGTTTGGTAAACTAGATGAGCTGGCAAAGATGGTCACTTACTTACTCTATGTATTGATGTGAACTATACAATTGTTCCTCTCCAAACCTGTTAACGTGTGAAGGGAAAGTTATATTCTCAACAAATTTTATGCACAAATCACCATCGCTTTGTATTTTCTGGAGTGGAAGGAAAAATATGTGGAATGGCGAGATCAATGTTAGGCATCTGAAAAGCAGAATGTGATGTTCAGTAGACGATGAAACAACATCATTTTGAGGGAGAAGAGAAACAGCCCCTAATTCTCTCAGATCCAGCCAAACACATACCTTTTCTTGTGTTGCATCATCTTAGTCCATGAAAGTACGAAATTCAGTAATTTGTAGTGCGTCAAAGAGCATAGAACATATCAATAAACAAACTAAAACTGTGTATTACTGACAAGTCTCTGAAGCACTAAATAGATAAGAAAGCAGAGAATGTATCTTGAAGTTACATATGATCATGTTGTCATTGTTTAATTCTACTTCAACCTGGAAAAGTAGTCCTAGATGAGATCAAACTTTCTCTTGTTGTTTATGATTAAGTCAGAAGAAGTAATTAACCCTTTCCAAGATGGAGAGAGCTGTCACTGATACCCCTGATATTTTCCTTCTCATAGTGGAAATATTTAACCAAGTTGCACAAAATTTAGTAGAAACGTATTACCTAACATTCAATATCTGCTTTAAAAAGCTACATAATGTAATTTAACATTTTTATTATTTTTGAGAAATTCCTAAAATTTATATTAAAAATGCTTTTTTCTTTGTCTCAAAATTTCAATGTTCTATAATTCACCAGAAAGTTAGATTTTTACATATCCAAACAGTTTTAATTTAATTATTATTCCTTAACATATTTATTTGAATACTTTAATGTAGTTATTAAAACAGTCACCGCTTCTGGTTATAAATCCTAAAAAAAAAATGGTGTCCCTGTTACTTATGTTACAAAGTAACATGATTTTTGCCAACAGTATTTTTGGTCGAGATCAATTTTTATTCTAATAATCCATTAAAAATAGTTTGTCTGGAACAAATAACAAATTCTTTTATTTGCATGTGTTGTTTAAACATGATAAACTTAGCAATAATATTAAAAAAAAATTTAGTCATCTTTA